TCCTCACTTTTTCAAAGTTTCCGCCATGGAAACTCACCTCGCTAAGCAATTACCTCTTTATAAAAACACTTCCATTCTCCACACCCATCTCCCTCCTTCCGCTTCCCTCCAAAACCCACCCGACCAAATCCCTAAAAGAGTCAGCTTTCGTCTGATTCTGATTCTGACTTCTCCCAAATGTCTCACGAAATCGTCCCCGTAGATCCCATCGATGTTCCAAGCACCAGCTACTCAAGACCGGTTCTGGGTCGGGAAGATTCTCCGGAACGCCGGTTCACGAGATCCCTCACTTTCCGGGAACACGTATCGGAGCCATTTGACAGTGAGAGGCTTCCGGCGACATTAGCTTCGGAGATTCAGAGGTTTCTTCGTATTGCTAACTTGGTTGAGTCTGAAGAACCTCGTATTGCTTATCTATGTGAGTTACCTTCCTCTTCCCTAATTTTTAGGTCAAACTTTACTGTTTTATGGAATTTGAAACTCAAAAATTGGCGCTTTCTTGTTCAATATTCAATTCTAGTAATGTTTTTGAAACTTTTGATGTCGCAGGCCGTTTTCATGCTTTCGAGATAGCTCACCATTTGGACAGAAACTCAACGGGAAGAGGTGTACGGCAGTTCAAAACTTCTCTTCTTCAAAGGCTTGAACAGGCAAGTCCCTGTTTTTTTGTTGTTGTCAAAGATATGAATCATGTGGACAAATTTCTAAACAATTAGCAGTTTATTTAGTTTGTTCTGACTTCTTCGATTACTTGTAGGATGAAGAGTTTACTGTGAGAAGAAGGAAAGAGAAGAGTGATGTTCGGGAACTCAAACGTGTTTATCATGCTTACAAGGAATACATTATTAGACATGGTGCAGCATTCAATTTGTATCCTAGGTATCGTTTTTCTTTTATCTACTAACTATCGTTGAAGTTCAATTTTAGTGAGCCAACATTAACCTTTGGAAAATTTTGATGTTAATAGTCAGCGAGAGAAGTTGATTAACGCACGCAGAATTGCTTCTGTTTTGTATGAAGTTCTAAAGACAGTCACAAGTGGCGCTGGTCCGCAGGTTTCTGGCCGCCTTTTTTCGTTTCTCTCCACTCGAATCTGTATTAACTTGCGCAATTTTGTATATCTAACTTGAAATTATTGTTTCTGATAGGCCATTGCGGATAGAGATAGTATTCGGGCTAAATCTGAATTCTATGTCCCGTATAACATTCTTCCTCTTGACAGAGGAGGGGTACACCAAGCGATTATGCATCTGCCTGAGGTATAAACATATATGGCCTATAGTATGCATGGTTCTGCTACATATCATATTAAAATTTTCATGGTGAAATGCTCCTTTATGTCATAAACTACAGATTAAAGCTGCTATTGCAATTGTACGTAACACTCGTGGATTGCCTCCTCCAGAGGAGTTTCAGAGACACCAGCCTTTTGTTGATTTATTTGAATTTCTGCAGTATGCATTTGGATTCCAGGTACTTGTCACTCTGGAACCTGTTATCAGTATTGTCAAGACTGTAATTACGTATGGTAACGGGATTTACAATTTATCTTTCCGCTAGAATGGAAATGTTGCCAATCAGAGAGAGCATATGATTCTACTACTCAGTAACACCATTATACGGCAACCTCAGAAACAGTCTTCAGCACCGAAGGTGTTGTATTATTTCCCCTCTTTATTAAAATGATTCAGCTCTCCATCTTTGAAATTTACATAATCTTAGTTCCTGTAATCAGTCTGGTGATGAGGCAGTAGATGCATTGATGAAGAAGTTTTTCAAGAACTACACAAACTGGTGCAAGTTTCTTGGGAGAAAAAATAACATAAGGTACTCTTGGAATACCTTTTCATCTGTCAATATTCTGTATGTTTTAGCCAGTGTTGTTTCTAACTGTCTAGACTTGCGATCCACCTGCAGGTTGCCGTATGTGAAACAGGAAGCCCTACAATATAAAACATTGTACATAGGACTCTACCTTCTCATATGGGGAGAAGCTTCTAATTTGAGATTCATGCCAGAATGCTTGTGTTATATTTTCCACCAAGTAAGCTGAAAACTTCTGTTTATATGTTATTAGTACATCTTCTAAAAAATGTTTATCAGTCAATCTGATGATCGATATTTGCAACATTGATGTTGATGTTAATTCAGATGGCTTATGAATTACATGGAGTTTTAACCAGTGACGTTAGTATGATAACTGGGGAGAAGGTCGAGCCAGCATATGGTGGAGGACATGAATCTTTCCTTGAGAATGTAGTTACCCCGATATACAGGGTTATCGAAAAGGTGATCTTCTGTTTGATGGAGTGCTTGAATTAACTTAAAAACGAGTAGTTAATTTTAAAATATATGTTTGCAGGAAGCTGAGAAGAACAAGAATGGAACTGCTGATCATTCTACTTGGAGAAACTACGATGATCTGAACGAATTCTTCTGGTCAGAGAACATTCACTATTTGATGTCTCTTTGCTATCATTTCTGTGTTTTAAAGCCGGGAACATCAATAATCAGATTTGTTACGTCTTCCACAGGTCTCTTGAATGCTTCGAAATAGGTTGGCCAATGTGTCTGGACCACGATTTCTTCTGTGTTGAATCGTCAGATACCCGTAAACCAGGGAGATGGCGAGGAATGTTTAGATTCCGCAAGCAGACAAAGAAAACGGATGAAGAAATGGAGGATGACGAAGAATTTGGGGTACCTATCCTTGTAACTCAAAACATCTCTTCCCCTGATTATGCATTTGCATATACACACTAAGTAATCTAAAGGATAATTCATCAGTAGCCTGTTCATTTGTGTCATAGCAGTATGGTGTTCCTAGCTTGTTGAGGAGACTACGGAGCATATTAACGCTTAATATCTAAGTAAGCACATTATTCAAATTGGTCAATTTGTGTGTGAACGGCTTCCAAAGTCAGAATTCAGAAAAGGAACTTGGGGTATCACTAGGACTAAAGATTCTTAGGTTCAACAAATTGCATTGCTTTTAAAATCATAACAAAGACGTTATCTTGTATGTCTCAAAACGCTACATAGGTATACTTTTCATTGAGTCATGTGATGTTCTCGTTACTGCAGGAACTCACTGAGGAACAAATAAAATCATCCCCAAGATGGCTCGGGAAGACAAATTTTGTAGAGACTCGTTCCTTCTGGCAGATATTCCGGAGCTTTGACAGAATGTGGACTTTCTTTGTTTTGTCACTACAGGTTCCTCTTCTTATGCTCTTTCATCTTTCAAATTATCTCCAAGTATAAATATATTTTACAAATGATGAAATTCTTATTTTCGTTTTAGGTATTGATAATTATGGCTTGTCATGATGTGGGATCTCCACTCGAGATGTTTAACGCCAATATATTTGAAGACGTCATGAGCATTTTCATTACCTCTGCAATTATAAAGCTTATAAAAGGTTATTAGTCATTTTCTTAATGTAAAAGGTTATAAAGCTTCACAATACTTATTGCTAACATTTTAAGGGGTTTGTTGCAGGTATTCTTGACATAATCTTCAAGTGGAAAGCCAGAAACACAATGCCGATCAATGAAAAGAAGAAGCAGATGGTGAAATTGGGTTTTGCTGCGATGTGGACGATTATTCTACCAGTGTTGTACTCTCATTCAAGAAGGAAATACATTTGTTATTTCACAAATTACAAAACTTGGCTTGGTGAATTTTGTTTCTCTCCGTATATGGTGGGAGTCACGATATACCTGACAGGAAGTGCGATTGAGTTGGTCTTGTTTTTCGTTCCTGCCATCAGCAAATACATTGAGACTTCCAATCATTGCATTTTCAAAACATTGTCTTGGTGGGGAGAGGTACTTTAGTCTCAGAAACTCCATAGTTTTGTGCAAATTACTCACATTCATGTATTGAAATAGTTTCTTCAGGTAGTCTTTTTTACTTTGGGTGTATTTGAAACTCACTTTACCAGCTGATTTTTTGCAGCCTAGGTTATACGTTGGGCGAGGAATGCAAGAAACTCAGCTATCACAACTCAAGTATGTCTCATACCAAATTTCCACTGTTTCTTTTCTTAATCATATATCGTTTCTATTTTTTCTGTCGTTTTGAATGTCTTCTCTACATTTTTTGTCATGTTTTTTTGTTTTACTTTCTGTCTAGATACACCTTCTTCTGGTTTCTGGTTCTCTTGACCAAGTTTGCTTTCAGCTATGCATTTGAGGTAACTGGATTGCACTTTTCAAGTAGTCTACTGATAACTAATGTTGTATGCGTTGAATTCAAACAGTTTCTTACAATCATTATGATCTGAAAATGCAGATAAAGCCTCTAATAGAACCTACACGATTGATAATGAAAGTTGGTGTGCGGAATTATGAATGGCATGAACTCTTCCCAGAAGGTCTACTCATATATTTTTTTTAACTTTTTCTTCTGTTTTTAAAATATGCATTGCGGCACACTAAAGATTTTTTATGTTTTCTCCTTTTATAGTGAAGAGTAATGCGGCTGCAATTGTTGCAGTATGGGCGCCGATAATGGTGGTGAGTTCTCAGTAGGTGGATAGAAAACTACGAATTTTCCAGTTCCATGCATATACTAGAAATATGACTTCTTATGATAAACTATAGCTTACCTTCGATTTCTGAGACAAATGTTGAACTTTCAGGTCTATTTCATGGATACACAAATATGGTATTCAGTTTTTTGTACCATCTTTGGCGGGCTGTATGGAGTTCTGCATCACCTTGGTGAGGTAAGCACAAGTTCTTCAATGCAAGTTTTGTCATTTTGTGCATTTTCTGGCCATGTATTGTTGCTTCCAGGTTTATATGGTTCTTTGTTTCTATTCAGATTCGAACTTTGGGCATGTTGAGAGGCCGGTTTCATACTCTACCTTCTGCTTTCAATGCATCCCTTATTCCACACTCAACTAAAGATGAGAAAAGGAGAAAACAAAGAGGCTTTTTCCCATTCAATTTAGGCAGGGTAAGAGGTTTTCTGAATCGATCACATGTATATGCTGAAGTACTATTCTGTATACTTTCTTATAATCTTGATTATATTTGAGTTTCGCGTAAAGACGTCCATTTTTTTCCCAGGGGTCTGATGGCCAGAAAAATAGTATGGCCAAGTTTGTCTTGGTCTGGAACCAAGTCATTAACAGTTTCAGAGCAGAAGATCTGATTAGTAACAAGTAAAATTCTCCCTTCTGTATTGTTTGCACTTAAATTTCGACATATATAAATAGTTAGCAACTTAGCATATAAGTCTAAATTTTATCATCAGGGAACTCGATCTGATGACAATGCCGATGTCTTCGGAGGTATTATCAGGGATCATCCGTTGGCCCATTTTCCTCCTTGCAAATAAGGTACATTTCTAAAGAAATTCTATATAATTTTGTTTTTCATTGGAATTTCGGTTTGTTGGTAAATATAGCTGCCCCATCTTACTAGTTTTCAACAGCTCTGAGCATTGCAAAAGATTTTGTCGGGAAGGATGAGGTTCTTTATCGAAGGATTCAGAAAGATGAGTACATGTACTATGCAGTAAAAGAATGCTATGAGTCATTGAAGTACATTCTTCAGATTCTTGTTGTTGGTGATCTCGAGAAAAGGTAAAGCCTCCTCCTCTAGTCACAAATTTCACTTCATTTTCTGCTGACTGCGGTTTGTAATTTTACATAGTTAATATTGGCTCAGGGTTATATCTGGCATTATAAATGAGATAGAGGAAAGCATTAGACAGTCAAGTTTGCTTGAAGAATTTAAGATGAAAGAGCTCCCAGCGTTGCATGGAAAATGTATTGAGCTGGTTCAACTTCTGGTAATTGATCTTTTGATGTTGCTATAAAGTTCAGATCTTGTTTCTTTTCATGAAAATATAGTTAGTTCCAGTGATTCTTCTATATATTCCAGGTTGAAGGAAGTGAAGAGCATCTCCAGACTGAGAAAATCGAAGAGCAGCACAGTAAACTTGTAAAGGCTCTTCAGGATATCTTTGAGCTAGTAACAAATGATATGATGGTACATGGTGACAGGTTAGCGAATTTCAAAGTTATGGAGTCTCTGTTCCTTTTAGTTTCTCTTTCTGTGAAGAAATGAGCAAAACTGACATCGCTTGATAAAATTCTGTACGTGTTTAGAATTCTGGATTTGCTCGAGTCTCGGGAGGGTTCAGAAGAGAACACTGAATTTTTTATGAGGGTTATAGAACCACAGTTGTTTGAATCATACGGAGAAAGGAGATGCATTCATTTTCCGCTTCCAGATAGTGCTTCATTGAGTGAACAGGTACCCTGTGAGCGTGCTGCGATGTCAAATGTTCCAATCGTTGCGGAAAAAATTGCTGCTGTGTGCTGATATTTCTATGCTGGTTTTGGCAGATCCAACGTTTTCTGTTATTGTTAACTGTCAGAGATAGTGCCATGGACATACCAGAGAACTTAGATGCTCGACGACGTATATCTTTCTTTGCTACTTCTCTTTTCATGGATATGCCCGACGCTCCTAAAGTACGCAATATGATGTCATTCAGGTCTGCCTACACAACTTTCCCTTAGAAAGATATACAAATTATTACTTTAATTCCTAGGAAAGTAGAAGAAGAGCACATCCTTGGATCATCAATTGATGACTACTAACACTTTTGTTGCAGTGTTTTGACACCACATTTTCAGGAGGATATTAACTTTTCAACGAAGGAATTACATTCCACCAAGTCTAGTGTGTCAATCATTTTTTATATGCAGAAGATTTTTCCAGGTAAAAACTGAACACGTTTTCATTTTGATTGATTACTGTCTTCTCTGTTTGTGTTTCAAAGGTTATCTTATCTTTTGGTTGTTAGATGAATGGAAAAACTTTCTGGAGCGAATGGGATGTGAGAATTTGGATGCATTAAAGAGAGAAGGTAAAGAAGAAGAGCTTCGAAACTGGGCATCATTTCGTGGACAAACATTGAGTAGAACAGGTGAGAAACTATAATAATATGTGTAAACTCTTAAACAGGGAACTAACAAACTTTTATTTTGTTTTTCATGCTTAACACAGTCCGTGGTATGATGTATTGCCGAGAAGCTCTGAAATTGCAAGCTTTCCTTGACATGGCAGATGATGAGGGTTTGTTATCTTGACCCTAGTCTCTGATCTTTGCAAATTCTATTTGAAAAACTTATTTTAAATGTTGTCTGCCTGTTTCTCCTCTAGATATTCTTGAAGGATATGACGATGTAGAACGAAGTAACCGACCTTTAGCTGCACAACTTGATGCATTAGCAGATATGAAATTCACATATCTTGTGTCTTGCCAAATGTTTGGAGCACAAAAATCAGCTGGGGATCCCCACGCGCAAGACATACTCGACCTGATGATAAAGTAAGCTTTTATTGTTATGCAAATTGTGCATGATCTCAATTAGATTCAGTAGCAAAAGTTGTACATGCTTCCCTAAAGCACTGTTACATGACGGATGTGCTTAGGTACCCATCTCTCCGTGTTGCATACGTTGAGGAGAGGGAAGAAATAGTGTCGGATGTTCCAAAGAAGGTTTATTACTCTATACTGGTAAAAGCTGTCAACGGTTTTGATCAGGTATCAGAAGCTTCTCTACAATACTTATAATTTCTGTGCAAGTTGAGCTGTAAAATCCTCGGCATGGTAACTTTGTTTTGGTATTGTAGGAAATATACCGTATCAAACTTCCTGGACCACCTAATATCGGAGAGGGGAAGCCTGAGAATCAAAACCACGCCATAGTGTTTACTCGAGGTGAAGCACTTCAAACAATTGACATGAACCAAGTAAGTTCTCTGCATCTTGGATGTACAATAAACGAACCACCATTTTGTCTTCTAAAACTTCTCAACCCTGCTAGGATAACTATCTGGAAGAGGCTTTCAAAATGAGAAATCTCCTTCAAGAATTTCTTCGAAATCGTGGAAGAAGACCTCCAACAATTCTTGGGTTAAGGGAACACATCTTCACCGGAAGGTTTGTTCCACACTTCCATATATGCATATGTTTTTCTTACTCCCTGAAATAACCAGGAAATGGTGAACCATAAGCAGGGAATTTACCGAGTTTCTGATATTGCAGTGTTTCTTCTCTAGCATGGTTCATGTCATATCAAGAAACCAGTTTTGTCACAATCGGTCAGAGGCTTCTTGCTAATCCTCTCAGGTAATAACCCCCAAGTCCTAAACCTTCAAAATCACAGTTTCCACTTGCCTGAGACCACGAAAACAAAAACTCTTTCTTTCATTGATTTACAGAGTCCGGTTTCACTATGGACATCCAGATGTCTTTGACAGAATATTTCACATAACAAGGGGTGGTATCAGTAAAGCATCAAGAACTATTAACTTAAGCGAGGATGTTTTCGCCGGTATGAAATCACATATTAAGTTCTTTCTCAGAAACTTTGTAAGGTTTACTTGTAATTACATTCGTCCTTGTATTATGTAGGTTATAATACCACCTTACGACGTGGATGCATAACTTACAATGAGTACCTTCAAGTTGGAAAAGGTCGTGATGTTGGTCTCAATCAGATCTCAAAGTTTGAGGCCAAGGTGGCTAATGGTAACAGCGAGCAGACTATTAGCCGTGACATATACCGTTTAGGACAACGGTTTGATTTCTTCAGAATGCTATCTTGTTATTTCACAACCATTGGATTCTACTTCAGTAGCTTGGTAACGTCCTTGAAACTTTAGCTTAATTGTAACGGCTCCTTGTTTCAGTTTGTCGATGACCTCTAATTTCTGCTGACCTTTGTACAGATTTCGGTAATCGGGATATATATTTATCTCTATGGTCAACTCTACCTTGTCCTCAGTGGGTTACAGAAGACACTTATTCTTGAAGCCAAGTTGAAGAACATAAAATCATTGGAAACAGCTCTTGCTTCTCAATCATTTATCCAGCTAGGTCTCTTGACTGGTTTACCAATGGTGATGGAGATTGGATTGGAGAAAGGATTTCTTATAGCCTTTCAAGATTTCATACTCATGCAGCTCCAGCTTGCTGCATTCTTCTTCACTTTCTCTCTAGGAACCAAAACGCATTACTTTGGCAGAACAATTCTCCATGGGGGCGCCAAATACAGACCCACAGGGCGTAAAGTGGTGGTGTTCCACGCCAACTTCAGTGAAAATTACAGATTATATTCGAGAAGCCATTTCATCAAAGGGTTTGAGATCATCATTCTTCTGGTTGTCTACGAGTTGTTCAAGCATACCTCTCAAAGCAACATGGCTTACTCATTCATCACTTTCTCAGTGTGGTTCATGTCCCTGACTTGGTTATGCGCCCCGTTTCTCTTCAACCCTTCAGGGTTTACCTGGGAAATAATAGTAGGTGATTGGAGAGATTGGAACAGATGGATCAAAGAGCAAGGTGGGATTGGGATTCAGCAAGACAAAAGCTGGCAATCTTGGTGGAACGACGAGCAAGCCCATCTCCGTGGCTCTGGTGTTGGAGCTCGCTGTTTGGAAATAATTCTGTCTCTCAGGTTCTTTGTGTATCAGTATGGTTTGGTCTATCACCTTGACATTACTCAAAGCAACACGAATCTCATAGTCTACGCGCTTTCTTGGGTTGTGATTCTCGCTACATTCCTCACAGTCAAGGTAAATCTCTCATCTCCTTGCTCTATCTGAGTTAAAAAGAAAAACAGAACCAAAGGCAAGCTAGAAACAATTCTGGCATTGCAGGCTGTAGACCTAGGGAGGCAACTCTTCAGCACAAGGAAACATCTTGTGTTTCGGTTCTTCAAAGTCTTCGTCTTCGTGAGCATTCTAACAGTCATTATCACACTATCAAACATATGTCACCTCTCTATCAAGGACCTTATAGTCTCTTGCTTAGCTTTCTTGCCTACCGGTTGGGGTCTGATTCTGGTACCAATCCTTCCCAATGCACTCTGTTTTCAAAAATGCAACACATTTAGTTTCTTATGAAATCGCAAAATCGTTGCAGATTGCACAAGCTGTTAGGCCAAAGATAGAAGGGACAAGCTTGTGGGAGTTCACACAAGTTCTTGCTCGAGCTTATGATTATGGAATGGGAGTTGTTCTGTTTGCACCAATGGCTATCTTAGCATGGCTTCCTATCATTTCCGCGTTTCAAACTCGGTTTCTCTTTAACGAAGCTTTTAACAGAAGGCTTCAAATTCAACCTATTCTTGCTGGGAAGAAGAAGAAATAGATTGCCTCTCTTCTTTCTTCCACTCCTTTGCCTTTGTACATCTTTGTAACTAGTATTGTCACTTATTAATTTCCTCAGTACAAAAAACCCGGTTCAATGTAGTGAAATTAAAATTAGAAATGGATTGTTTAAACCGATCCGAACCGAATAAGGCCAATACATAAACACCTCTCATTCGCAGTTTGTTTGTTTGTTTGAGAAAGAAGCAATGATTCTTCTTCGGAGGATTGTTCTGTCTGCTGCAACATCGAATTCAAATCTCAGAAGAAGCCAATCACT